AGGCAGGCAGGCAGGCAGGCAGGCAGGCAGGCAGGCAGGCAGGCAGGGCATTCCCCAAGCGCCCAAGCCGAAAGGGAGGGAGAAAGGCGAGGCTCCAAGGACAGCGGGAAGGCGGAAAGAGAAAGAGGGCAGGGAGGGACTCGGGGAGGGGGAGCCCGGGGTCAGGAAGTCCACAGGCTTTCCGGGAAGGAGGGAGCCTCCCCCCTCCCCACGGCTCTCTCCCCAAGACGGGGGTCCTGCACAGAGTTGGCACCGGCTGAAGGCTCACCACGCCCTGCCTCCTGGGCCCCACAGCAGCCCCCAAGCAGGGAATCCCAGAGTTGCGTGGGGCCTGGGAGGTCTTCTAGTCCAACCCCCTGCTCAGACAGGAGACCCCGCACCCCCCCCCCCCAGACAGATGGAGAGCAGCCTTCCAGTATCCGAGGGGCTGCCCCAAAGAAGAGGGGGTCCATCTATTCTCCAGAGCCCCTGAAGGCAGGAGCAGCAGCAACAGACGGAAACGAATCCAGGGGAGAAGCAGCCTGGAATCAAGGAGAAACTTCCTCACAGGGAGGACAATTAACCAGGGGAACTGCCTGCCACCAGGAGTTGTGGGCGCTTCATCACTGGAAGTTTTTAAGGAGAGCCTGGACAGCCACTTGTCTGGAACGCTCAGCTGGGACTCAGCTCAGCTTTGCTTGAGCAGGGGGCTGGACTAGAAGACCTCCGAGGTCCCCTCCAGCTCGGTTCTTCTGTTCCTTTATAAAGTCTAAGCCGGAGTCCAAGACAGCAAGACCCCTTTGGCATTTCTCTCTTGGGCAGGAGAGCGGATCTCCCCCGGGCTCCTCAACTCCACGGCCGGCTGTCTTCCCTCACACCGGCCTTTGCGCCACCAAAGCCCTCCCCCCCCCCCCCGCCCTCCCTCACCCCCCCCCCCCCCGCCCCCCCCCCCCCCCCCCCGCCCCTTCCCCCCGGGGGGCCTCGTGCCCCCCCCCCCCGGCCGTTCCTGGCTTCCTAGCAGGGCTCTGCTCCAGTCCAGCTGCCTTCCCCCCCCCTCCCCACCCCAGGGTCTCAGCTCCGGCACAGGAGTCTCTGCATGCTGGGCTTGTGGGTCAGGGGGCTTTCCAGGGGGCCCCAAGGCCCCTCCTCGGATTGGTCCACCCCCAAGCCAGACAGGCCAGGAGACCAAGGAGTGACCACAGCTGAGATGAGTCTTAAGGAGAATGAATCACTAAGTGTTTGTGTGGAAGGGAATTGCCCGCTCGCATTTCCTTCTGGCCTGTTTATCACCTTGACTCAGCAGACGGCAAGGAGAGACCTCATGGATCCCTTGGTCCACCTGACTGAGGGCAGGCTCCACCGCCCAGCCTCTCTTGGAAGACCTGGGGTGTGGGGGGGGACCAAGCTCCTTCCGGGGTGTGTGTGAGGGAGAGAGACAGCTCTGATCTCAGCAGTTTGAGGGGATCCTGCCTTCTGCAGCTTGCAACGTTCTGAAGTAGCCCCACTGCCATGGATGGGGAGCCAAGGGCTTTCTGCAGTCTCCCCCCCCCCCCCCCGTGCGGGTTCCTTGGGGGCTCCCTGCATCTGGGGGGGGGGGAGGGAGGGGGCTGGTGCTCAGCCGTCAGAACAAAAAAAAGCCAGTGGGAAATATTTATTCAAATTAGGACGCTGGTCACAGCACATATGCTGACTCTGTAAACCCCTTAGAGAGGGCTGTAAAGCACTATAAAGTGGTATATAAGTCTAAGGGCTATTGTGATATATATATATATATATATAGATTTAACCCTAGTTTCAATTGAGGAAATGTGACCATCCTAGACCAGGCCAAGTCCCCGAATGCCAGGGGATTTCTAGAAGCCTGCTGGCCCTCGGACAAATCATCCATCGATAGACGCCAGCAACACCTGCAGACGATGCCAAAGAGACCACCGACCAGCCCCAAAGAAGGAAGACTCCAGCACCCCCCCTCGCCCCCCCCCCCAGCACCCAGCGATTCCCCAATGAAGGGACTGCCAAAGAGCCATCAGCAAACGGCCCAACCAAAGACTCCCTAAGACACACACACACACCCCGGCCGACACGGGGACATAAACTGAGAGCAAACCCCACCCCTTCCTAGCACTGATGAGGTTTCCTAGTTGGGTCATGAAACGACTGCAAGAAAACCAGCAGGCTCAGGGAGCGCCTCCTTTCAACCCTGAGCTACCAATAGTCTCCATTATTAGTAGGACACTAGTCCTCAAGATCTCACCTTTCCTAGCTTCCTTTCCAACACCAAGAACAACAGAAGTCATCAATCAGGACGGTGAGGGGGCCAGAGGCTAAAACATGAAGACCGGTTGCAGGAACTGGGCCTGGCTAGTCAGAAAAGGTGTAGGGTGGGAGGGGGTTGGACTAGATGCCCTACAAAGTCCCTTCCAACTCTGTTAAAGAGTCTCTTTCATGATGGAAAAATTAAAATAATAATTTAAAAAACTGTCAACTCTTCTCCAAATCCCCCCCTTTTTCTTTGCCTCTCCTTTCTTCCCTCTCCCCCCCTGCCCCCTCTTTCCCCCTTTCCCCCTCCTGTCTGCCCCCCCCCCCCCCGCCCCCCACCCCCAATACCTAAACAGGCCTCAGAATAAGGCGGCTCTCACATTCCCCTCCAAGGCGGCCCTTTAACCCTCCCCCCCCCTTTAAAAAGTTCACCTTGGAAGCTGTAAAGGACAAATAGCAGAAACTGCCTCCTGGCTTTGCGTGTATTCCTTGAATTACGACTGCAACGGAGCCCCAAAGTTATGTTGCTAAGCGAGCCATTTGTTAAGTGAGTTTTGCCCCATTTTACGACCTTTCTTGCCGCGGCTGTTAAGTGAATCATTGCGGATGTTCAATTAGTAACACCGCTGTTAAGCGAGCCTGGTGTCCTGCCCCTGGTGGAGACGGACTCTGAGGGAGAGGAGGAACAGCCGACAGGGAGTTGGGAGTGGGGCTCCAGAGGTGGTGGAGGAGGCTGGGGAAGGGCAGAGGCCGGCTGAGCGGTCAGAGGAGGACCCAGGCCCGTCCCCTCTCCATCCTAGGGCACGCAGGGAGGAGAGGATCAGGGAAAAGCCAGGTCTACTCAGGAGGAGATTACCATGATCCTCCTCGTGGCTGGCAGGTGGCAGCTAGGTATATAAGTTTGCAACTGCGCAGTTAGAATTTGCAGGAGTCCATTTAGTGTTCATCTTGAAAGAGGTTTATCTTTGCTGGCGTTCTTCCCATGGACTTTTCTCGGGTATTTTCCTGGAATGTATGATTAATTATCTTGGCTTTCTTCGGAACTCTCGTCAACGCGGTTTGTTTTGGTTTTCTTTTTGCCTCATTATTTACTTTTGTGACTTTAAACTGTGCCTAATAAAACAGTGAAGTTAAGTTGAAGGCTTTACGGGACTTTAATGTATGTTTTGGGTTTGGGGTTATTTTGGGAGACTCCGGTCATCCCACCTGGCTTCTCTGTGGACTTGGCCGGAGAGCTGCAAAAAGGGACCATGTGACCCCTGGACAGGGCGGCTGTCCAACACAGGGATCCATGGGGTGTGTGTGCTGAATTTCTATCCCGTGATCCTGGGGGGGTCTGAAACGGTCGTAAGTGTGAAAACCGGCCATAAGTCACTTTTTTCAATGCCATTGTCACTGAATGGTCACTAAACCGATGGGTGTAATTTGAGGACTACCTGTACGATGATAAAAACAAATGCACCTTCCCCCCCCTCACTGGCTCCACAGGGGTCCTTCGGCGAACCCCCCCCCACCCCCTCGATCCAGGCGGGCCTCATTGACTGGGACCACAACGCCCATCTGGCCGGTGGGGGCTGCGGGACCCGAATGGCTCTGGGGCGTCTGGGGTGGCCGCGGAGCGCAGCGCTGCCCTTTGCGGGCTCTGGGACAACTGGCCGCGGGACAAGAGCGGCGCTCACCTCCAAGACCCGAGAGCCGTCCAGGAACGGGCGCAGGAGGCGGAGTGAAGAAGGCTCGTTGCTTTGACTCGTCCAACGGGGTGGCTCCATTGTCCCGCAGCGCGTTGGTGGCCGCAACTTGGCCCATTCCCGTCTCGGAAGGGCGGCCGTCCCAGCCACGCACGGCCCGCCCTCTCCGGCGCCTCCCTCGGGCCGCCGGCCGGGCGCTTCTTAAGGCGCCGCCGAGCCCGGGACGCCCGCAGCCTCCGCTCAGGCAGCCGCGCGGGTCCGGGCGCAGCTCTCGCCTTCCGCCCTCGGGAGGCTCAACGGGCTCCGGAGCCGGGAAGGGGAGCGGAGCGGCCGGCGAGCCCCTCGGCCTGAAGGGCCAGCCGCGCCACCTGAGGCTCAGGTGCTTTCGCGGGCTTTGCTTTCACGGGCTCCGCCAAAAGGGAGCCCGCGCCCCGGGCAGGCCGAGCGGGCAGCTGCGCGGAGGTTCCCCCGCTTGCTTCAACTCTTTTCTTCCCGTCCGGATGAGCCGCGGTGGCTTCCTGGCTGGTTGTCCGTCCGTCTCTCTCTCTCTCTCCTCTTCATTCACTACCTTCGGTCTGTCGGTCGGTCTGTCGGTCTCGCATCTCTAGCAACTCCCGTCTCTCTCGCTTCTCTCTTAAGCACCACCTCTCGTCCCTTCTGTCGCCTTCGTCTTTCCTCTCCTTCTCTCCGTTTCCCGCACAGTCTCTCCTCTCCCCCCGGCCCGAACGTCCAGGCCGATCCGCTGACTCGTCCGCTGGCCTCCCTTGTCCTCCCCCAATTCTGGAATCCCTCCCCTCTGGGGGGAGACGGAGGCTCCCTCCCCCTCCCGCCAAGGCGGCCCCTTCGCCCCCGCGGCTCCTCTGCCCGACGGGCTGAAGTCGGACCCTTCCCCCCCGCCCGCTTTCTCCCTCCAGGGGAGGCTGCCTTCTCCGGCCGGGGCGAGGAAGAGGAGGGGACGGCGGGATGGACGGCGCCGCAGGTGAACTGGCCGCCTTCCAGCCGGCGCCGCGGGCCTTCAGCCTGTGGGACTACGGCGTCTTCGGCCTGATGCTGCTGGTCTCCACGGGCATCGGGCTCTTCTACGGCCTGTCGAGGGGCGGCCACAAGAGCGCCGAGGACTTCTTCACGGGCAGCCGGGCCATGTCGGCGCTGCCGGTGGGCCTGTCGCTCTCGGCCAGCTTCATGTCGGCCATCCAGGTGCTGGGCGTCCCGGCCGAGGCCTACCGCTACGGCATGAAGTTCCTGTGGATGTGCCTGGGCCAGCTCCTCAACTCGCTGCTCACCGCCGGCCTCTTCCTGCCCGTCTTCTACCGCCTGGGGCTCACCAGCACCTACGAGGTAGGGCGCCCCTCCCTCGGGGCCCCTTGCGGGGGGGGGGGGAGCAGGGGATGGTGGGGGGCGGCTTGCCCCCCATCTCTCAATATCTATTTCGAGGACATTGATTTTCCTCCTCTGGGAGGCTTCCAATGTGATAAAACGATACGGGGAAAAAAGATGAAAACAGTAAAATATTAAAATTAACAAATAAGTAATTGAGACAGTGTGTGTGTGTGTGTGTGTGTCCAATAGCGTGGTGGTGGGGTCTCCTAATTTGGTAACCCCTCTGGGATGACACCCCATCTCCAGTTCGGACCCCAGGCCAATTTCCCTTCCTCTTGTGGCGGGAGGTTTTTCTGGATGCTGCTGACCCCCCCTCCCCACGTCCTCCCCCCTCCCTTTGGGGTCCTGGCATCCCAGGCAGCCCTTTCTCTCCTCCTCCTCCTCCTCAGTCCCTTTCCCCCTTCTCTCCTCCCAGGCTGCCTTTGGGTGGGGTCCCCTCCAGCCCTTCTTTAGGGCCCCTCCCTGGACCCCCAGGCTGCCCAAGCCCCTTCCCACTTAGCCTCAGCTGAGGAAGCTTCTAGCACCCCCCCCCCCCCCCCCTCTCTAGGGGGCCCACAGTAAGGGGGACAAAGCCCCCCTCCACCCCCCCCCCCCCCACCAAGGCCTCAGAGCCAGAGCAAGAGGACCGCTCTGACTGGGCCCAGAAAAAGGGGCTCCTCCTGCTGCAGAGAAGGCTGGGTTGCCCCTCCCCGGGGTCTCCCCACCAGAGCCTCCTGGGGGCGCAAGGCCGGTTGGGGGAACCTTTGTGGAAGGGGAAGGTCCTTTGGCCCTGGGTCTCCTGGCTTCTCCACCTTGGAGCAAGACCCCCCCCCCTCAAAACCTGCAGGAAGCGGCCAGCCTGCTGGACTCCACCGAGAGCAGCCGCCAAGGGCACCAGATGTCCTGGAGGAGGGGGGGGGGGGGGGGGGCGGGGGGGGTGCTCCTCCGGGGGGGGGGAGCCAGGCCCCTGGGATGGCCTCCCTGCCCGGGCCGGCCCCCCCCCCCCCCCCCCCCTCCCTCGCGGGGGGGGGGGGGGGGGGGGGGGGAGATGCTGAGTTGTTTCTCTTGACTGCATCCTTCTCCCCTCTCTCTTATTTTGTTGTTCCTGCTTGTTGGTTTTGCTCTTTTCCTCAGGGTTGTGTGTGTGATGTTATTGTTTATTGCCAATCACACTGTGGATGTTTTCACTTTTTTGTAGTGTTCGTTGGCCGGTTTAAAAAATAAATAACCAGGCACGAAATCCTTCCAGCCAACCTTTTGTCCCAGCCCTTCAGGGAAGCCTTGGCGAGGCAGAGACCCCGGCAGAGATGGAACCGGGGAGGGGGTCTTGGGGGGGGGGGGGGGGGGGGGGGGCACTTGCCAGCTGGGCAGAATTACCAGCCAAGGATCGGATGCAGCCTTTGCGTGGGTGGTGGTGGAATAGGGTCGCCCCTTGGGCCCCATCTCTCCTGCAGCCTAAAGCCACGGACCTAACTTCTCCCTCGTGGCCAGGGGGCCTCCAGGCCTTCGGGGAGTGGCTGTGGGGCGGGAGAAATGGGGGGGGGGAGGAGAGGCAGCTGGTCTTCGCAGCTGGTCTTGCTTGGGCTTGTTCTGATCTCTGCAGAGAAGGTGCCACTCTGAGGTTAACCACAATGTCAATTGTCTCACTGGGCAAACTTTCATGGGAAGAGCCCAAATGATCTCAGAGCGTTTCTCAAGAAAGAGGAAATCGCACCAACACCAAACGGGCAAGTCTGGGTGAAGCCACAGCCAGGTACTTCTGAATGTAGCTTCTATTCAGAGGGACGTATTTCCCACCCAGGTGTACACAAGCGTCACACAACAAGCGAAGTTGGAGAAAGGCTTAGAGGAGAATCTCCCTGGGGCGTCCTTCTCCAAGGGGGGAAACAGAGGCAGGGGCAGGGAGTGTGTGGATCTCTATTTCCTTTCTGTCTTGATCTCCACCCCCCTTTATGATAGCTGACCAATAAGGCAGTCAATACACCCAACACGCCTTCCTCCTCCTCCTGTTTCCCTCACCATAACCACCCTGCGAGCTGGGCTGAGCTGAGAGAGCGGGGCTGGCCAAAGGTCATCCAGCTGGGTTTCACACCTAAGGCAGGACTAGAACTCCCCATCTCCTGGTTTCTGCCCTGGTGCCTTAACCCGTAGACCAAACTGGCCGGACCGTGTCCTGTTTTCAGCCGAGGCAGGAGATGACCTCTGGGGTTCCCTGCCCAACACGGGCATCCCGTGGGGGGGGCACGAGGAGACCTTGCAAGCTGCTCACCCCCAGGGAGCCTCTCCCCATGGGGGCCCCCGGGGGGTCCAGGCTGCCTAACCAGGGGCTTCCCCTCTGCTGGCGCTGCCAGCTGAACCGGGAGATGGAGAGCCATGGCTGGCATTTTGGGACGCCCCCTTGAGCCGCAGGAAGCTCCCCTCGGGGTGGGTGGCCCAGGGTGGAGGGGAGGGAGGGGCTGCAGTAGATCCAAGGTTTTTTTTTAAATAAAAACTTTTATTTCTTTGTAAAATGGATTTGCTGCCATCTCACCTCCAGGTAACCCTGGGCAGCTTACAAAGACGCCCTTCACCCTCAACCGTTGCCTATTTTGGCTTTCTGCTGACACAGCAAGAAGCGCAAATTGTTTTCGGAAACTTGAAAGATCAACACGGGAGAAATCTTGAGCGGGGGGGGGGGAGCAGGAAATGCCCCCCCTCCCAGAAGCGTGATGGGATCCAGGGGGAACCTGGGCGGTCTGTGCCCAGAGGGGTTGCGCTGCGTGTGGCGCCCAGGCTGGGAAACAGTTGGTGCCCCACCCTTCTGAAGTTTGGGGGGGTCAGAGTTCATCCTTGGGGAGCCCGGAGGACCCTGGCCTGGGGAGGGGGCTGCTGCCCTTCCCCCAATGCCTGCCTGCCTTTCACCCACTGGGGCTTCCCCGCCTGGGCTGAGCCGCTGAGCGATAAACCTGGAAGAGGCCAGATGTTTTCCCAGCTTATCTTCCCTCGGGGAGCAAACGGATTCTTGGCCCTGAAGGAGCGTCAGGCCGGCTGCAAACAGCCTCTGCCCTGCAGCCTTCGCGGCCCTGCGGTTGCGGTCTGGGGCAAGGCAACGCACACAGCCCACGGGTCTTGCTTTGTCCGGGCAGTGGGAGGGCCTGGCAGCTTTTTCCCTTGGGAGCCCTGGGCGCCTCCCTCCTGCTGGGCCGTTGTGGCCCCTGGCATCGCCCCTGTGGCCAAGGGTCCAGCTGGGCAGGAAGCAAGCCAGAGGGGGCGGGGAGGGGGCTTCTTCTGGCCCTGCTGCCCCAGGAAGAAACCCCCCCCCCCCAAAAAACCGGGAAGGAGAGCCCCAGAAAGGGGCCCCTTGAAGGAACCCTCTCAGGCCTTGCTTGGGGGGGGGGGGGTTCCCCCAGGGCTGTTGCAGAGGCCCCTGCCTGGCCCTGAGCACTTCAGGGGGGTCTCCTGCCAGTCTGGGCAGAGGCAGGAAATGGCCAGGCTGCCACGTCTCCTCTCCCTCACCCCTTCGGTGCAGGTGGAGAGGTGACCAAGAAGGTATTTTGGAGGTATTTTGCCCGGGTTGGGGTTTTTTTGGGGGGTGAAAGAGGGCGCCTGTCTGTCCCCCCAACTTTCCTCCCTGTTTTAGCCAAGGGGCCCCTCCTCTGCGCCTTTTGGGGTTCACCCACAGGCAACGTCAGTGGGCGGGGGGCATTAATAATAAGAGGCCCCGAGGGATAGCCAGAGGACGGGGTGGGGGGGATTCTCGGAAGGCCCCTCCTGCAATTTCTGGAGCCCCAGCAGAGGAGCCGCCCTGGAGCTCCTCCTCCCCCAAACCAGCCCTTTTCCTGCGGGAGTTTGAAATCTCCCAGCCCCCTTCAGGCTCCAGCCTTGGCCAGCCAAGGTCGCCCCCTACACCCCCCAACCGTTGCTGCTTCCTCCCTCAGCCCCCCCGGGGGGGGGAGGGGCTGTTTGAGCCAAGCACCAGAACAAGGCCTACAGCGGCCACCCCCCTCCCCCCTCCGGCCACCCAGCCCCATGGTGGCTCTGCTGCTGCCCCAGCGGAGGTTGGGAGACTGACGCCCAGTCCCAGCGGAGGAGGCAGCCGGGAGGCAGCCTGTGGGCCCAGCAGCCCAGGCGTCCTGCGGGTGGGAGGTGGGCAAAGGGCTCAGGGTGGGGGGCGAACGGATCTGAAGGGCTCCGAGTGCCCCCCAAGACAGCCACTGAGCAAGGGTCCCATCTTGCACCCCCTGAGCAGCAAAGCTGGGGCTCCAACTCCCATGGTGCACAAACAGATGGACCAAGGATGATGGGAGCCGAGACCCAGCTTGGGTACTTGTGGGGGGGGTGAATAATTGCCATTTGGCTTAACAGGTTTCCCTCCTCCTGCCCGCCTTTTGCCTGTGTGCATTCAGAAGTGCTCCAGACACCTAAAGGAAGGCAGGAAGGGGGATTTTGAGGGCTGTATCCCCCATTTCTTCAGATTGCCGGAGGGGGGGGGGCTTTTGCCAGGAAGCCTTGCCCTCCCGCTGTTGTCCCGGCCCTTGCCTGGGCTGCTTCCTTCCCCAAAGAGGCTGGAGGCAGGGAAGAGGCCCCCCCCCCCCCCCCCCGGTTCAGGACGGGGCCAGGCGCCCAGAGGGCTCTCGGCTGGGTGCTGGCCCTGTCCCCAGGCCCTCTCCAGCCACTTCTCTGCCCGCTGGAGCAGCAGCCCTGGAGGGCTTTCCAGGGGCAGAGGCTGGGGGGAGGGGTTGCGGGGGGGGGATAGAGCAAGCCTGGAGACAGACCTGCCTGCCAGCCCCCCTTCCCCCCACCCTGGAGCCCCTGAGGGTTTCTGCCCCCAAGGTTGCTGCTTGCCAGCCCCCTGGCTTCTCCCTGCTCTGGATGGGGTGTGGCTGCCCTTCCCAGGCATGGCAGAGAGCCAGAGGGGGGGTCTCTAAAGGAGGAAGGGGGCCCCCTCGTGGCAGAGGCCAGCAAGTCCACCTTTCCTGGCTCCCCTCCTGGGCTTTAACCAGAGCCCCCCTTGCTTCTCGGGGGGGGGGGGGGGGGGGCGGGGCGGGGGGCCGGCCCCCCCCCGGGGGGGGGGGGAGGGGGGGCGGGTCTGCAACCACCTTTGAGCCTCTGGGATCAGCCGGGCGGGAGACGTGCAGGGTCCGATTGACCGAGGCTTATCAAGGAACAAACCGAGATAATCTCTGGGTCAGGGCGGGGCGGGCGGCGGCGGCGCACAGGTAGCCTGGGAGGGGCGTGCAGCCTCCTGGCTGCTTTGCTTTGGCAGACCGCCCCAGCCCCCCCCCTCCCCCCATCTCACTTCAGGATCCGCCTTGGGCGGGAAACGGGCTCCGATCCCTCGGCGTTGGGGGAGGGGAGCGGGGGGGGCAGCAGCTCCCCGAAGGCCAAGGGAACCGGAGGGGGGAGGGGGCGTCCCTGCGGCAGGCGGGCTTTTGGGAGTCCGCCGGGTCCGGCCGCCTGCGTCTCCCTTCCGAAGCCCCCGGGGAGACCCTCGGACGGGGCGGGCCGGCTGCAGCCCCCGCGGCGTTGGGGGTCCACTTGTGCCGTTGGGACGCCCCCCCCCACGAGAGCTCTGCGCACCAGAGGGAGGGCGGGCGGGCGGCGGCCGAGGCGGGCCGGGAGGGGAGCGCGCCCCAAATACGGGCGGGGGCCGAGGGGGAGGATTCGGCCTCCCACCGCCTCCGCTCCGCCGCCATCCGGGTCAAGTTGTCCCAAGGGGGCTTTTTCCAGAGGCAACTGGGCTTCCGTGGTTTTCCCCTGAAGACGTTTCGCTTCTCATCCAAGAAGCTTCTTCAGTTCCGACAGAAGCTTTTTGGATGAGAAGCGAAAGGTCTTCAAAGAAACAGCAAGGAAGTCCAGCTGCTTCTTGAAAAGCCCCTTTGGGCGAGATGGGGGGCCTCTCACTGGCAGAGGCCGAAAGGAGCACGGGGAGGCCAAGCTCCAATGCGCGCGCGTGTGTGTGCGTGTGTGTGTGTGTGTGTGTGTGTCCTACTTTTCAGAAGGCCGGGCCCCCTTTTGGGGCATGGGGGGGGGGCTCTTAACATTTAGCTCTTCCGTCTCCGTCTTGCCTTGGCAGTACCTGGAGCTGCGGTTCTCCAAGAAGGTCCGGCTGTGTGGCACAGTCCAGTACATCATTGCCACGGTAAGTGCCACCGAGGATTGTGCCTGGCCTGCGGTGGGCATTCCCCCCCCCCCCCGCCCAAAATCCCTCCCTGCTACCTGATCAGAGCTGGCTGAAACCAGGAGAGAAGAAAGCGCCCCCCTCACCCAGCGTGCCCCCCCCCGGGGCTCCCTAACGCCCCCAATAAAGTAACATTCGGAGCCTGGAGGGTCTTAGGAGCGGAAGGGTAGACAGGTGACCTGCTCGGAATGGGGGCGGCTGGCCAGGAGCCGCTGAGGACGCTGCAGGGTTGAGGTGCTGCCCCAAGGGGTGCTTTTGTTGGGGGGGGGGGGGGAATGGAGCACCGGCCCTCCCTCCCTTCGCAGCTTTGCAGGTTTTAAGAGCCTCCTGGCCTCCCTCAGGTGCTGTACACGGGGATCGTCATCTACGCCCCGGCCTTGATCCTCAACCAAGGTGGGTCCCACCTGCTCCCCGCTCGGAACCGGGGTTGGATTCCCACAGCCCCTCCCCCCATCCCGTCAGCCAGCTGAAGACCCCCGGAGCTGGCCTGGGCCACGGGTGTGACACACGCATGTGCCTGCTGGTGTAAGGCCCCCCCCCGCTCCTTCGGCTCCCCTCCCCACGGGCGGCGGGCCTTGTGCGAAGGCAGTTCCTGGGCAGGGGGGGGCCGGTCAATTCCGCCGGATCTGACCCGTTTTGGGTTTCCAGACCAAACCCTCCTGGGACTCCGGGGATCTGATTGAGAGGATGGCTTTGATCTGGGAACGGCTTCAGGGGCTCCATCAGACTCCGCCCTCGGCCGAGAGTGCCAGCCGTGCCCCCCCCCACCCCCCCCCCCTTGGGAAGAGGCGCCTCCCTTTCGCCGCCCCTCTGCCCCAGACAGGAAGGCAGTGGACGCCGTGGGGGGAAAAGGGAGGCTTTTGTGGGGAAATCTCTGAATAAAGATATTTATTTCTCTTTTCCCAGTGACGGGTCTGGATATTTGGGCCTCGCTTCTCTCCACGGGCACCATTTGCACCTTTTACACCACCATCGTGAGTGGCCTTGCAGCCCCCCTGCCCCTGACCCCCCGCCCCAGAGGCTCACGAGGGGGGGGGTGTCTGGGCATCTGCCCTCCCTTCTTCCCCCTGCTGGGAACCTTTCGCTGCCCCCCAAAGCCCCCCAGCGAGGCTGGCTGAGCCGGACCCCCCTCTTTTTCCAGGGGGGCATGAAAGCGGTCATCTGGACGGACGTCTTCCAGGTCTTCGTCATGCTGTCCGGCTTTGTGGCCATCCTGATCCAGGGGACGCTGCTGGTGGGGGGGCCAGGCCAGGTCCTCTCCATCGCCTACAACCACTCCAGGATCAATTTCGGAGAGTAGGTGGAGCTGCTGCCCCACTTGGGAACTGGGGCGAATGCCGGCCTGCAGCAACAGCTCCCCAGCCCCCCTCCCCCCCTTTCTGTCCCTCCACCTGGGGTGGGCTTGGGAGAGGGGGGACACCTCTGCCGTAATGGCAGCTGAGCAAATGGGGCTCCGCTCGGTCATAGTGCTGGAACGAGGGAGGGAGGGTGGGCCCCCAAACGCTGAATGGGTCTGTTTTCAGTGGGGTCACTTAGGTGAGGCGGAGAAATGAATGAATGAATGGAATGAATGAATGAATGAGAATGAGTGAGTGAGTGAATGAATGCAAGACCATTGTCTTGTTTCTGCTTGGATCTTAAAGAGATTGGAGGGTTATACATTAATTCTATCAGCAACTTATAAGGAGAATTTATATAAAATGTTTTATCGCTGGCACTTAACCACCAGCGAGACTTGCAAAAATGTTTCCCAATAATTTGGCAAGCTGTTGGAAATGTGTCTATGAGCAGGGAATCTATTATTATATGTGGTGGAACTGCCCAAAAGCAAAAAAAATATTGGTGGAAAAT